AGGAACAGTTATTACACAGTTAGATTTTTAAATCTATTTTTAAGAACAGTGAGGTTTGTAGCATTTCAACTTTCCATAATCCCATCTCCCTCTCCTCAGCTTCATGGTAGCCTTGAAAACCAACAACAGGAAGTATAAAAACCAACTACAGGAAGTATAAAAAACAGCAGCCTAGCTGACAATGTAGTGGGTAGAATAGTCTGGAGTTCCCCAATATCCCCATCCTTAGAGAATTTTCACTATATGGCCTGTCTGACACCCCAAGGAAAAGCCACATTCTGAGGGCCTGTCTTTAACCTGGCTCATATCTTACTCTGTGGGAACAGTCTATCCCTAGGGAATTTGTCAAAAATCAGTCAGTGGAGATTGTTTAACAGTGCAGCTGCTTGAAATGGCATTAACAGTTGGGACTAACAAGAGGCCGACAAAAAATCTTAAAAGGAAAAATAGGTAATGAGATATCCATAAGAGCTCTAAAAGTTCAGACATATTCCTGAGAATCTAGAAGGTAACAAACATGTGCAGGGCTGTGTGTATGCCCTGGAAAGTTAGGGCCTGAGAAGACCCTAATGTGTCACATTTGGCTGACCCTGAGGCTCTGTGCAAGCAGGAAGTGAAACCTAAGGCAGCCTTGTAAATTGTCTGCCTGAACACTGAAAGAATCCTCCAACATACGCACACAGCTAGCTCCTCAGCAAGGGTTAACAGACTTTTTAGTTCAAGGCACTTAAGGAAAACTCTATTCAATCATTAGAGGACCACTACACTAACCGAAAATATAGAATACAGAATTTACAGAATTATTTCAGGAAAGTTGCTAAGCAAGCAGCAATAACAACAAATCCTGGGGGGAGGGAGTGGACTGATTTCTTGAATGGTCACACTATATTATTTAAAATGTCTATTTTTCAACAAAAAATACAAGACATTGCAAAGAAACAGGAAAGCATGGCCCATACACAAGGAATAAAAGTCAGTAAACTGCCCTGAGGGAGCATGTTGGGCTTACTAGACAGAACTTTAAATGGTTATTAAAAGTTTCTTCAAACAACTAAAGGAAACCATGTATAAAGAACTATATGAAAGTTTCAGAATGTCTTACAAAATAGGAAATAAAAATAAACCAAAATTATAATAAAGAACTTAAAAGAAATTCTGGAGTTGAAAAGTACTATAACTGAAATAAAAAATTCAGTTGGCCAGCACGACAGAAGACTTGGGCTGGCAGAAGAAAGAATCAGCAAACTCAAGAATAGGTCAACTACCTAGTATGAAGAGAAGACCCCGTCTGGAAAGCAGAAAGAAAAAAAGAATGAAGAAAAATTAACAGAGCCTTAGAGACCTGTGGGAGATCATTAAGCCTGTGGGATACCAAAAAAAAAGTCTCAAAAGAAGTAAGAAAGGGGCAGAAAGATCATCTGAAGAGGTTATGGTTGATAACTTTTCAAAATTGACAAAAAACATTAATCTACACATCAAAGATGCTCAATAGATTCCAAGTAGGATAAACTCAAAGAGATACATACCTAGATATATAGCCAAATTGTCAAAGGTGAAAGACAAAAAATTAATCTTGAAAATAGCAAGAGAGAAGAGACTCATCATTGACAAAGGGTCTTCAATAAGATTAACAGTTGACTTCTCATCAGAAACCATGGAGGCCAGGAAGAAATGAGATGGCATAGTCAATTGTGCTGAAAGAAAGAGATTAACAACCAAAAATTCTATGTCTAGCAAAACTATATTTCAAAATTGAAAAAATTAAGACATTCCCAAATAAACATAAACTGAGAGAATTCATCACTTGAAGATTTGCCCTGGATGAAAAACTAAAGGGAGTCTTTCAGGCTGAAATAAATGGATACTATACAGTAACTCAAATCCACAAAAAGAAAGAAAGAGCACTAGTAAAGTTGACTCCTTTAGGTGACTAGGAGAAGGATTTTAAAATCCTTTAAAATAGGATTTTAAAAATCTATAAAGATGTAGCTGGTATGACAATAATAGTACAAAGGAGGAGGAGTACAGAGCTAAATAAAGTTTTTTAATATAATTGAAATTAAGTTGGTATTAAAAAACTAATTTATTTAAGGTAAGATGTTAATTGTAATCCCCAGGGCAATTAAATGGCATACTAGAAAAATCTATTTAATATAAAAGAAGGAATAAATGAAGGAACAGAGGAATAAAAAAAGATACAAGACATACAGAAAACAAAAAGCAAAATGATTGATATAAATCCTTATTAACAGACTCCAATTAAATACATTTCCTGATTTCAAAACTTACTACAAGGCTATAGTAATTAAAACAGTGTTGTATTAGCATAAGGACAGATATGTATGGTCAAATGATTTTTCAATAGGGTGCCAAGATCATTCAGAGTACAAGGGACAGTCTTTTTACAAGTGATACTGGGGAAACTGGATATCAACTTGTAAAAAATGAAGCTGGATCTTTGCTTTATATCATATATAAAAATTAACTCAAAATGGATCAAAGACCTAAATGTAAGAGGCTAAAAGCATAAAACTCTCAGAAGATAACATAAGGAAAAAGCTTCATGGCACTGGATTTGGCAATGATTTCTTGGATATAACACCAAAAGTAGAGACAACAAAAGAAAAAGTATACAAATTAGACTTCATCAAAATTGAAAACTTCGTGCATCAAAGAACGTTATGCAGAAAGTGAAAAGGCAACCCATGGAATGGGAGAAAATATTTGCAAATCATATTATCTGATAAGGAATTCACATCCAAAAAAATATTTAGAACTTTTTACAACTCAACAACAAATAAACAAGTAACACCTTTAAAAAATGGGCAAGGGACCTGAACAGACATTTCTCCAAAGAAGATATACAAATGGCCAAAAAGCATATGAAAAGATGCTCACTAATAGCATTAATCATTAGGGAAATTCAAATCAAAATCCACAGTGAGATAGTACTTCACATCCATTAAGATGGCTATTATTGAAAAAGAGAAAATAACAAGTGTTGCTGAGGGTGTGGAGAAATTGGAATTCTTGTGCATTGCTGATGGGAATGTAATATGGTACAGTCTCTATGGAAAATGATATGGCCATTCCTCAAAAAATTAAATATAGAATTACCATCTGATTCAGCAATTCCACTTCTGGGTATATACCCAAAGAATTGAAAGCAGGTACCCAAATAGATGTTTGCATACCCATGTTCACAGTAGCATTATTCACAATAGCTAAAATGTGGAAGCAACTTAAGTGTCCATCAATGGATAAACAGATAAACAAAATGTGGTATATACATACAATGGAATGTTATTCAGCCTTGAAGAAAATTTTGACACATGCTGCAAGCTAGATGAAACTTGAAGACATTATGCTAACTAAAATAAGGGAGTCACCAAAGGACAAATATTGTATGATTCCACTTATTAGACTCAGACTGTGAGTGGCCTAGAACAGTCGAATTCATAAAGACAGAAAGTAGAATGGTGGTTACCAGAGGCTGGGGGAGGGGAAAATGGGTAGTCAGTGATTAATGGACAGAGAGTTTCAGTTTGGGAAGATGAAAAATTTCTAGAGATGGATGGTGTCAACAGTTGCAGAACAAAGTGAATGTACTTGATGCCACAGAACTATACACTTATAAGAGTTAAAATGGTACATTTTATGTTATATATATTTTACCACAATAAAAAAATTTGCTCTACAAAAGACACTATTAAGAGAATAAAAAGACAAGCTACAGACTGGGAGAAAATATTTGTAAATCACATATCCAACAGAAGATGGTGTTTGGAATACATAAAGAACTCTCAAAAGTCAGCAGGAAAAAAACAAACAATCCAATTATAAAACAGCAAAAGATTTGAACAGACACTTTAGCAAACAGGATATAAGGATGGCAAATAAGCACATGAAAAGATGTTCAACATCATTAGCCATTAAGGAAATGCAAATTAAAACTACAATGAGGTACCACTTCACATCTATTAGAACAATAAAAAATAAATACCGACAATACCAAGTGCTGACAAAGATGTAGAGCAACTAGAACTCTCATACATTGCTGGTGAGAATGCAAAATGGTACAGCCACTCTGGAAAATGGTTTGGCAGTTTCATACAAAGTTAAATGTACACTTACCATATGACCCAGTAATGTCACTTCTAGATATTTACCTTAGAGAAATAAAAACTTATGTTCACATAAAAACATGTACAAGAATGTTCATATCAATATTACTCATAACCACCATAACCTGGAAACAACCCAAATGCACTTCAATGGGTGTATGGATAAACAAACTTTGGAATGTCCATACAACGAAATGCTACTCAGCAAAATGAATGAACTAGTGATACACACAACAACTTGGATGAGTCTCAAAGGCATTAGGCTGAGTGGAGGAAGCCAGTCTCATAGGTTACATATTATATGATTCCATTCAAACAACATTCTCTAAAAGATAAAACTACTGTGATGGAGAACAGATCTTGGAGTGACTATAAAGCGATAGTATGAGGAAGTGTTTTACGGTGATGGAGCTGTTCTCTATCTTGATTGTGGTGGTGGTTACATGAATCTACATGATTTATAATTCACAGAATTGTACACCAAAAAAAGCCCCCATGCAATTTTATTGTAAGTTCATTTCAAAACTAAAATATTAGCTATTATCATTGCCATCATCATAAATAAGTATACTTTGCTGATTAATAAAAATATTCAGAATTTTTTGTGAAATGGGATCTAAAAATCATTAAGGTCAATTTATTTTTGGTACAATAACTTAAAGGTATAGAGAAAAAAAACAACAACACTGTATGTAAAAGCTTTACAACTTCTACTAACTCCTCTCTTTAATATTCTGTATCAGCATAATATGCTCCCTCTGGATCATTTCTTACAAACATTGTCATACACTGGAATTAAATAAGTGCTCAACTTAGAAGTCTGGGACCCTAGGTTACATTCCTAAATCTAACACTGTAAGAAAACTCTCGACTTGCCTTTTGTGCCTAATTTTATCTTCCTCTTCATTGAGGTCATGTACTTGTCTGCACTTGTCTTTTTGTGGTATGCTGTGAAGGTTTAAAGCAAGGAGTTTCAAAGATAGGAAACAATACAGATCCATACACCACCCACCCCACCACCCCAAATACCAGGTACTACTCTAAGTGATTTACATGTATTACCTCACTTAATCCTCCTAACAAGCCTATAACATAGCTACTATTAATATACTCATTTTACAGATGAAGAAACTGAAGCATAGAGAGATAACTTGTCCAGCATCTCATTGCTAGTAAGTGAGGGAGCCAGGATTTTCCCAGGCAGTCTGCTTCTAGAGCCTATGTTCTTAATCAGTATGCTATATCTCTCCACAGAAATCTGTTCATTTGTTCATTCCTTCCTTCCTTCACCACTGCTCTGCCATGTCTATAGTCTTTCTGTTTCTAACAAATCATTCATTCTCATGTCTTTAACATATCATCTACGTACAGATGATTACCAATTCCATCTAGTTCTGACCTCTCTCCTGAGTTTCACTGTTGCATCTTCCAACTGTCTCAATATCTGCATTTAATGATTCTGACATTTTCACAAATTCAACATGTTTAAAATAAAACTCATCATCCTTCCTCAAAATTTCCCCATAAAAGCTTTCTTAATTTTGTCCATTATTAAGTCACACAACCTTGAAACACCTGGATTATTTTTGACACATTCCTCTTCAATGACCCTCCTCCTTCATTCTCAGTCAACAAATTTTATCAATTCTTCCTTTGTAGTATCTCTTACAAGTAAATCTACCTCTTTCCAATTCCACTGCCATCATTCTAGTCCAGATCTTCATGTCTAAATGACTGTAATACCTCCTAATCATTCTCCTTGCTTGCAGTTCTTCCTCTCTCCAATCCTATTTATTGGCCACTAGATTAATCATTTTCAAATATGGCTTTTATCATGTTACTCATGACCCCAAAACCTTTAACTATATTCAAACTAACTAACTGACTAAATAAGTAACTCTGTATAGGTCTATACTACCCACCAAATAAAGTTCATAATTTTAGCTACCTTTCTAACCTTGTCTCTCACAACTTCCCCAAATGCTCCATAGTGCTCACACCATCTGTTGCAACTGAAATGCCATTCCCTCTTCTTTCTAAAGAATAGGTGGTATAAAAAGAACATTTAAATCTTACCTCCTCTGAGAGGCGTTCTTCAACCACGTCAATACACAGTGGCCTTTCCCTCCTCTGAACTCCTACAGCACTTAGCAACTATATCTAGCATTGTTACTAAATGTTATGTTTCTCTCTCCAACCAGACTGTACTTGGCATAAGCTCTGGAAGCATTTCATAAACTTCTGTGAACCTTCCACAGTGCCTAATAAAACTTATCTGTTAAACTAATTCTTTCTGGTTAAGACACATACTATTTATCTATATATTTTGTGCTAGTTTATAGTTTAGCCTAAAGACCCTTCACAATTTAGCATCACCTCTTTTTCCAGTGTCATCTTCTGTCATTCCCTGCCACGCCCTGATTCCTGCCACACTGAACTTCTCATTGTTCCTGAGACACACCAGGTTCTTTCTCAATCTTGTTCCTATTCACTCACTATCTTTAATGCCCTTTCCTGCTTATTTACCTGACAAATAGCTGTTGATCCAACAAGACTTAGTAGCAATGTCAACTTCTGACTCCCCCAACTAGACTTAGATGCTCTATGTTCTGTGCTCCCTCAGCATTTTATTCAAATCTCTATAATAGCAATTTCCATGTTGTCATGCAAATAACTGTGTGTATATTTGTCTCTCTCATGGGACTGTACATTCCTCAAGAGTAGTGATAGTTTGTCTTTCCCCTGCTCCCTTCACTAACTCTCCATATTTAATGCTCTGCTGTTTAATCTTTCTCTCAGTGAAAGAACATATCAAAGTCAGTGGGGATTACATACCTTGGTAATAAAGTGCCTTGAGAAAAGAGTGACGATCGGCTCCCTGAAATAAAGAGTTTTCTATTTCCATTTCTCGTCGAGTCAGTTGTTTGCTCTTTGCAAATCTCTGGGGCAGGCAAAGGATGCGCTGACGTTCTGAGATCCTTTCTTCAATATCTTGAAGACGGTTCTGTATTGCTTCAGGAGTTGCCCTCAGTTTTGTCTTCTACAATCAGAGAAATGAGATGGCATATATCAGTGAGGATATACCCTGAAAGTGATGATCTGATGCATCAGGCAAGAAAAAAAGATGATCAGGGCCCAGAAGTGGACATTTATAGAAAATGTTAGCTAAGAAGTCAAGGAACAACTTCTCTTTTACCAATGTCCCTATCCTAAAAACCAGAGAAGATTCAGACACAAAGCTCAGTTTTGTGAGAACTAAAAATGAAAAGGTTCTCAATGCCAAAATGAAGAGATCCTGCTGTGTATTTTCTAGGAAAAAAAAACATTGCCCCACTCACCTTTTCACCTGAAACATGGTTCTTCCATATCAAGATTTCTGTTTCATTAAGCCCTAGTTCCCTGAGTGAAGCAGTTTCCTGGTCCTTCTCATGCAGTGTCTGGAATTGGGACAATGTCATAGTCCCAGCTGCTTCCTTCCCAAAGGGCTTGTACATAGTACCAGGAGCAAAGCTCTCTTTCTTAGACATACATCTGCAAAACATGCAGGAGGACAGTAAGAACATCTCGAGGTTGCTACAATTCACATAAATGGGGGCTCACCATTATTAGAGGTACAAAGAAACTCATCAGTAATTTCTCTATCACATCCTATTTCTAAACTGAAGTACCTATACAACAAAGTGGAATTCCATAAATAGTCCCCTCATCCAGGAATAATAAATGACTGACTCAACAGATATTTACTGAGTGTGTACTATGCATCAGACACTGTGCTAGGTACTAAGGATTTATTAGTTTAAGAAAAAAATAAAAATGGCTTCTACTTTTGTGGAAAAACAATAAAAGAGAGGCAAGGAAACAGGCAATGATAATAATGGGGTTTTTTGTTTGTTTGTTTTTGGCAGAGTTTCACTCTGTTGCCTGGGCTAGAGTGCCATGGTGTCAGCCTAGCTCAAACTCCTGGGCTCAAGCAATCCTTCTGCCTCAGCCTCCCTAGTAGCTGGGACTACAGGCATGTGCCACAATGCCCAGCTAATTTTTCTATGTATTTTTATTTTTATTTTTTTGAGACAGAGTCACTTTGTTGCCAAGGCTAGAGTGAGTGCCATGGTGTCAGCCTAGCTCACAGCAACCTCAAACTCCTGGGCCCAAGCAATCCTACTGCCTCAGCCTCCCAAGTAGCTGGGACTACAGGCATGTGCCACCATGCCCGGCTAATTTTTTCTATATGTATTAGTTGGCTAATTAATTTCTTTCTATTTATAGTAGGTAAAGAGTCTCGCTCTTGCTCAGGCTGGTTTCGAACTCCTGACCTTAAGCAATCGCCCGCCTCGGCCTCCCAGAGAGCTAGGATTACAGGCGTGAGCCACCGCGCCCAGCCTCTATATATTTTTAGTTGGCCAATTCATTTCTCTCTATTTTTAGTAGAGACGGGATCTTGCTCTTGCTGAAGCTGGTTTCGAACTCCTGACCTTGAGCAATCCTCCAGCCTTGGGCCCCCAAAGTGCTATGATTACAGGTGTGAGCCACCGAACTCGGCCAATAATGGGTTTTAAGTGCTATGTTAGGGGATATACAGGGTGCTGTAGGAGGACATAGGCAAGGTACTTGGTCAAGACTTTGTAGGATATGGGAAGCTTTCTAGAGGAAGTGACATAGAAACAAAACCCTACCTAATAAGTAGAAATATGCCAAAGAAGGGGGTGGTGGGAGAGGATCATTCCATCTAGGATTTAAGAGGGATCTGTCACCTGGAGGTGAGGGTCTATGATGCTCTCTATCTGCAAAATCAATACATACTCTTCAATGGAGACAGAGGTATCAAGTTGATGCTGAAGGAGGCTTTTCAGCTGCCTCTCCCCTTCTGTTTCCAGCTCCTCCAGGACATGCTCATCACTCTTCACACAGCTATTTACCCTAGAGTAGATATAGGAATATATACAGAAAACAGAAGAGACAGTGTCTCAAAATATATTTCTTATCCACCATTAGTGACCCCATTTGTTGAAAGATACTTCTCCAAATATTCATTGCCCTTTATCATTCATTCCACAGACATTTACTACTAAATACCCACTTAAGCAGAAGGCACTGCGCTAGGTACTGATGGAAGTCAAAGATATTCAAGACATAGTCCCTATCCTCAAGAAGCCTGCAATCTATTCAAGGAGAAGAAATATATGCATGTATGTGGTGTGTGCATATGCCTAGGGGGAGAGGAGGAGGAAAGGAGGTGGAGAGGGAGAGAATACCAAATGAATAATGATACAGAAAAGCATATGCCAAATTAGTAGGAATTCACAGAAGAAAGAGATAATTGGGAGCTAGGGTGGTAAAGGAAGATTTCAAAAGGACTGGTTGTGATGAAGAAAAGAAGAGAAGGGAGAGAGAATATGAAGAGATAAAAATATTTACTGGGAGATAATGAGAAGTTCCATTTGGCTGGCATTCATTTACAGGAGTGCTGGAAGATGATCTTGTAGGGGTAAATTAGACACAGACAGTGAACGGCCTTAAATACACCAACTAAGGGGCCTAGACCTATTAATAAATGCATAGGTATTAGAAAGTAATTTATCAGGCAGTTAAGTACACAGTGCAAGTGATGGCTGAGGAAGATAAATATGGTTATAATATGCCATATGGATTTGAAGGGAAGAAACCAGAGGAACTAGTTAGGAAACTATTGAAGTATAAAGAGATGAAGGTCCACACTGGAGTGGTAACAGTAGAAATGGAAAGGAAGGGTTAGATGAGAGAGGCCTTTTGAAGGTGGGGCAAGGAAGTCAAAGATAACCCCCAAATTTCAAGCTGTGTAACTAAGAGAACGATAGTACCAAAGAAGGAAATAAAAAGCTCCAGATGGAATAAATGGTTTGGGAAAGACAAAGTCAATGTTGTTATAGCCATGTTGAGTCAACTACCTTTCACAATTGAAACATCAGCATGAAGTATCAGGAATACTTCAAAGACATTGAGTCTGAGGGTACAGCATGAGTGATTGGCTCAAAGGAAAGTGAGAGATTAGAGAATTGTTGTATAGCTGAGAGTCTGAGGCTGAATGTGGAAATCTTGAGTCATCTGTGTTGACAAGATCTGGAGCTATGACAGAGAAAAATATCTTCAAAGAGGAGAGTATAGAAAGAAATATAAAAAGTGTCATAACATTTTATAGCCTAGGCACTATGGTGTAGAAATCTAGGTAATGGCTAGCATGAGCTAACTAACCGTAAATAATTGAAAACTAGAGTATAATGAAATAACAAGGCCATTTAAGCATGCATCAACAGATTATAAAAAACAAACACAAAAAATGAGTTAACTCCATGAAAAACATAGATATTAAATACCTTCCTTATAAAATAGCCCTTTCCTAGTAGGGTTATAAGGAATGCCTAGAAAACCAAACCCCCATAATTATAAGCATGATTCCCATGATCTAGAAAGACTTGGCCCTATTTTGGAAAATTTTAAAATATCTTTAGATCCAAGATTTTTAAAAATTGTTCTTCAATATCTCAATTTTTATTTATTACTTCAAATTCCAAAAGTTCTTGCTAAGTTTAAAGTTTCTATACATCAATACACATGAATCATAAAAAGAAATACTGAGTTAAAAAAAGCAAGTCACAGAAAAATTTATACAATATGTGTCCATTTGTATGAAGTTGAAAAGTAGATAAACCTAGGAACCTTTTGTTTAGGGATAAATTTATATGTGCTAAAAAATTATTTTTTAAAAAACAAACCAACAAAAAAAGCACAAGGGAACGATTAATGTGGTCACCTGGGGGGAAGGAAGGGAGGGAGGAGAAGTAATCACAGAGGAGACACAGGGGACTTATAAGGAACTGACTATGTCCTACTTCTTAAGCTTGCGGTGGATGCAAGCCTTTATTATTATTCTTTAAACTGTATATACACATTATATAAATTATTTTGCATGGATGAAGTATATCATCATAAAAATGTTTAAAGATTATTTTCAGGCAGGGAAAATCAGAAATGGTTTTTAAAAAGACACAAGGAACTGAGAATGCAGGAGAGCACATTAGTAAGTATTTTAAATGTACTGCACTCCTCCAGAGTGATGATTCTACTTGCGGAGTGAATACAAAACTAATTTAATGAGGATCCTTTAAAAAGGCTTTTTGTACTGCCAGTAATAGTGAGGCTCTGGCCCTCAACAATAAGCACCTAGATTCAAGCGGCCATTTACTACAGAACCAGTAGGGGGAACCCCTTGCAGCAATGCCTTTCTTATATTCCTATATCCTATTGATACATCGAACCAGTTTTGTACTTTCCTTCTAAATTTATACAAACAAAAGTACCACTTTCTTACTTTAAGATTGCTATATGGTTCCGGGGCCCGAGCAAGACACTGCAAATAAACAAGCCCACCCCTGATCCCCTTTCGAAGGCTGAGGTGGAGGCAGGGCGGGACAGGGAGGAGCTGGCCTGGGAATCGCCAGAGCTGGCAATCTGTCCGCCAAGACCCTTTTGCCTGGGCGGGTCCGTTTGAAACAGGAAGAAGTCACAGCACCCAGCCAGCTCCCAGGGCCTGGGCCAGGAGCGCATTCCTATGGAAACCGGCCCGGCGGCGGCGGCCCTTCCTGAACTTGACGCTGCAGGCCCGTCTAGCCCGTCTCCCCTCCTCCCCTCCCCTTTGTCTTCCCGCTCACACGAAACCGCATCACGAGAACACGACATACCCCAAACAGAAAGTAACAAAAGCCATTTTCAAAGTAAAAGGTAGAAAAGAGCTCCCCTTGCCGCCTGCTTCCCAGAAAAGCCCTTACCTCTTCATGTTTCCACAGGCCCCTAGCGCTAACTTGGGAAATAGGCCGCGGACCTCAAGTCCCAGAACTCTGTGCGGCGGACTCTAAGGGGACTGTGGTGGAGCGTGGGACTCTGGGAATTGTAGTAGCACAGAGCTATAGAGACGGAAAGAGAAGGTAGGTATTGAGTGACCGGTATGTTGTAAATTGAATGTCTCTTTAATTTCTCATCTAGCTTACAGAGAACACCCCAAATATCCCGCTCATAAACCTAGGAGTCACATTTGACTTATTGACTCTCTTATCCAGTATCATTAAATCCTGGCTCTTCTGTAGTTTCCCTCGAATTTATCCCTGTCAACACTGCTTCTCTTTCAAGGATTTATCTGGCCTACCTGCTGTTTCCAGTCGAGCCTCTTGTCCATCCTCTGCAGTGTAGCCAAGCTATCAGACACGAGTCTGATCATATCACTTGTATTAATGGTTCTCCTCTATCTATAACAGAGACTTCTGAGTTCTATCAATTCAGAATCATAAGTCTGTATATATGCAGGCCATTGAATGTTTTAGGTAATTATGGTGAATGGAGAGAGAGGTATAACATAGTGGTTAAAAGCTTAGGCTCTTAGTTCCCAGAAGCAGAAATGCAAATATCCTTAAGTATATGAAAAGAAAGATGTCCAATCTCACTTATAAGTGAGATGAAAATTTCAAAGTACATTGACTACTAGTACTCCTTGAAGCTATCAAGGTCATCAAAAACAAGAAAAGTCTGAGAATCTGTCACAACCAAGAATAAGCATAAGAGACATAATGACTAGAGTAATATGGTATCCTGGATGGGATCCTGGAACAGAAAAAGGACAGTAGGTTAAAACTAAGGAAATGTGAATAAATTGTGCACTTTAATTAATAATAAGGCTCATTAGCTGTGACAAATGTATTAGCGTTATGAAAGATGTTAACACTAAGGGAAACTGAGCATAGGTATATGGAACTCTGTACTACGCAATTTTTCTGTAAATCTAAAACTGTTCTAAAAATTAAAGTTTGTTTTTTAAAAGTACACCAAAATAACATTTTTCACCTACCAGATTGGAAAAGATCCAAAGTTTGATAACACACTTGTTGAGATTGTGGGTAAACAACTACTCTCAATACATTGCTGATAGGAATAAAAATTGTTACAACCTCTATGGAGGGCAACTTCAGGATAGTATAGAAATCATAGATGTACATTCCCTTTAAAGCAGTAATTCAACATCTATGAATAGTATCCTTAAGTACATATGTGTCATTATTCATTATAACATCATTTATAACAATGTTGGAAACAACTTAAGTATCCAAGAACATGATACTATGAAAAGGTATCATTCAATGAAAAACTATGCAGCAGATACAAGACAGAGTTCTCTATGGACTGCTATTAAACAATCTCCAAAATAAATTTAGTGCAACAGCAAGGCACAGAACGATGTGTATAGTTTGCTTCCAGATATATATGTGTGTCTACTTGTATATGCAGAGAGTATCTCTGGGAGAACATACAGACAAATGGCCAGTCAATGTCTCCAGGTAGGGGAACTGGATGGCCAAGGGACAGGGCAGGAAAAACTCTTCACTGTTATCTTTTTATGCCCTTTGAATTTTGAACCATAGGACTATATTACCTAGTCAATAGTTTTGTTTTGTTTTGTTTTTGTGAGACGGAGTCTCACTCTGTTGCCTGGGCTACAGTGCCATGGTGTCAGCCTAACTCACAGCAACCTCAAACTCCTGGGCTCAGGCGATCCTCCTGCCTCAGCCTCCTGAGTAGCTGGGACTACAGGCATGCACCACCATGCCCGGCTAATTTTTTTCTACATATATATTAGTTGGCCAATTAATTTCTTTCTATTTATAGTAGAGACAGGGTCTTGCTCTTGCTCAGGCTGGTTTCGAAATCCTGACCTCGAGCAATCAGCCCGCCTCGGCCTCCCAGAGTGCTAGGATTACAGGCGTGAGCCACCGCGCCCGGCCTGGAATCGTTTTTTTAATTAAAGAGAACTCTTCTTATATCACAAGGATCCCAAGGAAAAAGATTTTGGGGGTGGGTCACACTGCTTAGATTTGAATCTCAATTCTCAGTTATTGACAATATAGCACTGTAGGGTTTTGGAGGCAATCTGGACTTGAACTTTTGTTTTGGCAAGTTATTAGATTATGAGAGTTTCAGTAAGTTTCTTTAACTGGTGTAGACCAGTTTCCTCATCTGTAAAATGGGGAAAATTCTTCAGAAGAATAGGGTTACTGTAAAGCATTATACAAAAGAATGGTTTTAAAGTCTCTCCATGATTGGGTGGTCATCAATGAGTAAATATTCCCAGATTATCCAGTAGGTTCAGACTTATTCCAACTGCTTTGTATTGCCGTGTTCAAGTTAGAGCAAAAGACCAAAGAGTGGCTACTGGAAAACATTTTAGTACTTCCTGAGAACTTCTAGCAGATTGAAAATATTGTGGCAAGTATTAGAGTTACCCTAAAACTGTCATATGCAAATGACTGTGCTCTTGAAGCACAACAGATGAATGAATGTAGACATAACATGTACCACTCGATGGCTTTGGCACAGAGCTGAATATAAGCATAAACAAAGTGTGGTCAGATAAATCCTATGTGGTGGTATAGCTAAATATTTCTGCTCAACCAAATTGACACATTTGGAAGGGAGGAATCGACACAATAAGGAAGTAAAAAAATACACTAAGTTTGCTAGTGGACTTGTCCCCTGGGAAGGTGGCAAAGGGTAGAACAAATAATACACTGACCAAACCATTTCACCAAATTTGTGTACAACTTCTAATAAAATATACAGCCTAATGGTACTGAAGTGACACACGCTACATTACAAATCCACAAGGTGGAATGAGTGGAGAATGAATGGCTAAAAGACATACTTACATAGCCGTGTAATTGCAACTGGAAAGTAAGGTCATAAGAAGTACTCTAAGTACCTGTGTAGGATTGAAGCCAGCCCAAGTGGTAGGTACTAAGGGATAAACATTCAAAAAATCACGCTAGAAGGAAGCCAGGCTATTTCTAGCTCTGCCAAACTTAATAAATACCTATGTAATAATAGCTAATCCATTTCCCACAACCTCCCCCTCCCCACCTTGGAAAGATATCAGACAGTGTGTTAAAAGCTTTGAGATCCTCTATATGTTATACACGAGCAAAAAGATTTTACCACAAGGTAATTTCACAATTTCACCCCTAGAAGAATTTCTGACAAACTGAAAAATATGCCTCATTTGTCTTTCTGACAATTTAACAAGGTTAGTTTAATTAAGCTAGAAGCTCCTCCTTAATATACACATTTTCAGAGCTTGTCCTTTTTAGGTGCTTTGTTCACAGCGCACTTCTGATGAATACATTATGAAGCAATTATAATTCTAACATATGGAAGAAGATGTTAAAACCAAAAATCTTCTTTTGAATCTACTCATCTAATATTAAGAGTAAACAACTGTGCATGTCTTTCAAATTTCCCAAATGAGATAGCATAAATGCTGTTATAGAGAATAAATATAGCATCTTTTCAAAGGACAAAAAAAAAGATAGATTATGCACTGGGATAGTGTCAACAATGCAAATTTAAGAATTCCCCTTGAGCTAATATCTTAGCTGGTTAATAATGATTAGGAAGGACTCAAGACTCCAGTGCCTAAAATAAATGATGCATTAACATTACTGGAAAAATGGGTTATTTCTGATCTTTTAATTAATATTTGTTCAACAATCTCATGTCTTCTAGGTACATGTTAGAATTAGTCAAAAGGAACCTTAGAGATGATTTAGACCGAGGCTCCAGATTCTAGACAGTACATTGAGATTCCCCAGTAAATCTTACAGAATTACTAGATTAATCTGGAAGCCACTTGCCATCTTCTCGCATCTTCTACATACTGGATAAAACACTAGAACTCCCGGTGAACATAATGTAACAGTAAGATAGTGCAAGCAGTACTGTAGCCTCTTCTTTCTTTATTTTATTTAGGAATTTACAGTAAGCTCTCCACTAATAGTGAAAAAGCATAGAGGAGTCTCAAAACTTCAAAGAAATGAAAACTAGTTTCTTCTCACAGAACAGTTGGAAAAACCACAATTTGGTCCAACTCTTTCATTTTATAGATAAAGATAATGCCCAAGATGAGATTATTTGTCCATCTAATTAGACAGGTACAAGACTAGAATTGGTGCTTCTATATTCTTTTTACTGAATGTAGAACTTAGGCATGGGGCTACTTTACAAGAGTTAAATCTCCAAAACCAATGGGAAAAAATGTGTTTATCTAGGGTATAACTGAGCTCAAAAATTAGGTACTACTCAAGATAATACTCATAAATTGTGCTATCCACAGAAATCATCTGCAAGATTATATGGTCTCTAGATTATTTTCACATTCTATAATTTTGAGTGTTAACAAAAACTTACCTGATAAGAAGCTGCTCTTTGCAAAAGTTTGGGTAAGAAAAACAGAGGCCATGTAAAGTTGTGGTGTTTAGTCTACTCCTAAGACTAATCATTGGTAATATTCATTCCAAAAATATTTTCTTCCTGTAAGAATGGTCATGTGCAATGAGTACAACAGGAAGTCTGCGGGGTCATTATAGGTGACTGAGCTCTAGTCACTTAAAAACTTTTAAGTAGTTTATTTTGGTGTTATACTTTTTTTTTTTTTTAGAACATCACCTTTATTTATGACTTATGTGAAACATGCAACACAAGAGACCAGACTGTTCCAAAGTCTGGAACAAGGCTTTGAACAAGGCTTTTATTTGAAAAACAAATAAGCAAACAAATACACAAAAACCAACAGCTATAAATCAAATAAAACAGCAGGATATCTATCTGCACATCAAAAATAACTGAATTCCTTGAAC